TTGATTTATTTTAATAATAGTTTTTTTAATTGGCGATTCGCAATAGAAGGAGAATACTTTATACATAATATTTTATTAATAAAAAGTGGGTGATTTTTATAAGGATTATTATAAATGTTGAAATCAGCATTCTGATATATACAACATTTTTCTATCAAGTAAAGTTCTCTTGAAGCTTGATAATGATGGTTAAATCATCAAAATCGGCTTGGTAGATCGAAAGATATAGTTATTTTATCTTCGTGACTATATAAAATTTCTTTGCAAATCTGTAAAGAAAATTATATAGTCGCAAAGATAAAAATGACTATATCTCGCGATCAACCAAGCCAATTTTGATGATTTAATCACCATTAGAACCAGAAAAGCTGCCTCTACAACTTTAATTAAAGCTTTAAGAGACCTTGATAAAAAAAAATTGTATATATCAGGAATGCTGAAATAATACTTATAAAAATTTGCACCACTTTTTTATTAATAAAATATTCTACTATCGCGAATCATCAATTAACTTAATATGCTTATTTAATATGATATTTTATCTAGATATACTTATAGTGCAGGGCTCATTAAAATATGCCTACAACAATCATGTGCATGATTCTCAAAACTCGTTCGCATGTCATCACTATAATAGACATGTTTGAATATTTGTTTAGAATTAGCTTTTATGCAATAAAACGTGTAATAAACTGATAATTTGAATTGAGTCTACAATAATATTGGGTAATAATACATAATAATATGTTGGGTGCAACTTATGTGGCATTTACTGTGATTAGTCTAACAATCAGTCCGCCCTGGACCGCAGACCGGTCTAACTTTTTAAAAGACAGCTAGTCTTGGGACCAAGACGATAATTACGTAACGCTAATTTTGGGCAGATGATTATTTCTATAAATAGATGCATGTCTTTTTGCATTTTATGATTTGGGTTGCGTGTTGTGCGTCAATCGATAAAGAATTTTCCTTGTCATTTTATAACTACAAGCCTTACTACATTAGTGCTACGTTTTAACTTAAAAAATTGATAATGATTTAAAAAACAAGCTCAATAAGATGAAATGTGATAACAAAGCAAAAAGAATAGAATAATTATATGTCAATGAACTTGCACGAATGTAAGTTAATCCGTATTAGTAGATTATTAGAAATAAAACCTTTAACAAAATTTGATAAATTTGATAGCCTTAAGGCAGAAGATCAAAAGGGAATAACAATGAAGGTTAATAGAAATCATTTGGGAATTTCTGATGCAATTACTTAATATAAGAATGCATTTGTTTAAATACAACAATTTACCAATAAAAATTTAAGATTATCTTATATGTAAAAAGAAATTGCGCAAATTAATATAAAAATTGCGTTAAAAAGATTTATTTAAGAAAATAATGAAGAAGTAGAAAACTTCAAAAGTATTCACGAATAAAATTGCAGATATAAATATTCAAAAAAAAAGAGGGACTCAAAAAAGAATTAAAGGGTATAAATTAATAAGAAATAATGTTCCTTTTTTAAATATATTCGTAAATTAATCATTTTCAATACCATTCAACATGGTTAAAAAATCCTTTTTATTCCATATACAAGCGGCGGTATCTGTTTTAGGATAAGGTCCGTATAATAAACCATGTGAGATACCCACTACAGTGTCATTGTTAGTAATTGGATCATAATTTCTCATCCAGGGACCCCCACTTGAGCCATAACCAACATTTATAGGTATACCTCTATATGACGTGGCATTTGGAAGATTATCTGGAAAATCAAATGAATTCCCTTGCCACTCACAAAGGTGTTTTCCATCTCTGGGGCAGTCCATATCACCATCAGCCGGATAACCAAATACAGTAGTTGAATAATTTTCATGAGGTATATCGAGATCATAATCGAAAGCTCCTGTATCATCTTGTAATTTTCTTCCATTTGAGTAATAAAACTTTGTAAGGGCAATATCATACATTTCAAAATTATTTATAAAATCTCCCCATATGATCGATCTATAAGCAGTAACTTTCCCAACTCTACTTTCTGTTCCATTGTTGTACCCAGGATAAAAATAAATTTTAGTATTAAACTTCTTAAGTTTATGATCATAAATACAATGTGCGGCAGTAATTGCAACACTTCCATTATTGGTTTTAATTACAGTGGCGGTACAATTAATTTCTGTTCCATCTGCTTTTACAGCATTTAAAAGCCCGATAGCATTTAAATTATTAATATCGTCATCAAAAAATTCTTTTATATTATTTGTTCTTTCTTCTGGTGGAATGTCAAATGTTTTACTCATAAGTACCAGGTTTGCTCTTTTACTTATAGGTTTAGAATATGCAGGAAACACATAACTTGAATTTATTACGATTAATAATACAACAAATATACATAGTACATATTTCTTGTTCATAATATCGTATTTTTAGAAAATTGATTAGAATAATTTAACACATCGATATAAAATGGATTTATTTTCATCTTTATATATTTTTTAAAAAGGATGATCATTTATAATTTCGATTCATTCTCTCATTCTGGTGTATAATTAATAATATTTTATTATATGGCATATATATTAATAAGGTAACTGCACAACACTGTCACACAAAGCCATTGATGTGATGTCGAGTACGTAATATTTGAGTTTAAATTGAATAATCACCAAATCAAAAATTTCTACGATCCTCAAAATGAAATTATTGTCCATCACTAGTGATGCAAACAGCTAGTTTGCAAGCATATAGAACATAGTACAAGAGCGCATGGACAAAATTTTTTTTAAAAAAAATATTTTTTGAAAAAAAAAAACTTCTAGAAAATAAACATTTTTTTTAAAAAAAAAAAAATTTTAAAAAAAGTGTTTTTAAAAAAAAATTATTACGGATGGGATGGTCGTCAAGATTCATTTTTACTATTGTTGTAAGAGTAAGAGCATGTGGCTTAGGTCACAATATACTTGCAGTATATTTTTAAGTTCATTATAATTTTTACGTTATATGGGATCTTTGAGAAATAATATTTGTATTGTTTGATGAAATTATTTCTCGTCAAAGCCTTGAGAATAATGTTATGTTGTACGATCATGTTCTAAATTATCCGCGTAATTCTTACAACTTATATCAAATTTATATTATTAAGAATAACAAGTATCGTATCAGAATATTAAATAATCAATGTGTGTATTTATCACACACAAATATGTATTTTGTAACCAGTGACCATAGCCATTGGGTATAATAATTATGTTATGTAAACCAAGAAATTTTCTTTGTATGGCCTAATATGAATAAATGAAGGATTTTTTAAAAATCAGCATAGTGAACATTAAAAAAGTTGAACGAAACCATCTCGTACTGGCACAACTTCCTAATCCTAACACTAATCATAAAGAGCTATTAGAATGATCATCCTAAAACTAACTGTTAGAATGATTTATAATACGAACTTCACATCCTGACACTAACCATAAAGAGCTTTATAATATGAACTTTCTCACCCTAACACTAATCATATAGAGCTGTTACTAATCATAAAGAGCTTTTATAATACGAACTTTCTCACCCTAACACTAATCATCCTAATACCAACCATAAAGAGCCGATAGAATACTAGAGATTGGACACATTGAGAAAATCCCTACCCAAGTTATCGAAATAAATTATTATCAGTTACAGGTAGGGTTATAGTTGTTAGGTGAAACCTTTTTCGCATGATAACAAAAGACGAAACCTCTGGCGAAAGTTGAAACCGAAAATTTTTCTGACGAAAAACGAAACCTTACACTCAAAAAGACACTCTACTGCTCCCGCTAAAAAAAAAAAGCATAAAAAGAAAATAATGTTATTTTCAGTGAATTAACATTCACAGAGATTAGGATCTGAAATTACATGTATGCCAGAAAAAATAACCCAGTTCATTTTCTGAACAATGCTAGGGTTGTTTAGATCGGTTGAAATAACCTTGTTAAAAAAGCCAAAGTACTCATGGAATAACATTAAATAATGATTAAAACATACTAGCGCAAACTAAATTTGTAAGATCACAAAGTAAATGCCAAGCGATTTTTCACTAAAAATGATATGTATAATATGATATTGAATACTCATTTCTAACTTCGTTTAACCAATTCAGCGCCTATTATACAATAAAATTTTTGTAATTTTTTATAAATTTTATACACATACTCTTCAATGGGTTTCGACTGTATATTCGTCTTTTATTAGATTTGTCACCCTTTAAAGTTTAGTCATTTTGTTATTTAAAATTTTAATTGACGAAAGACGAAACTAGGTTTCGTGCGAAACCTCGAGTTTTCGTCTAACAACTATATCCATAACTACCTAACCAAGTTTGTTAGATTTCTTTTTTTATTTTAATTCTACATATTCATAGAATTCAAATAAAAAATTTCGTCAAATTTATTCAGATAGTTACCAAGATATTTGATATTTTTTCTTCGCATCGGTATGTCGATCGGTAGGTGTAAAATCACGTGAATTGTAGGTATCTGGAGACTTTCCCGTGATTGACTGCTCATCGCATCCTTTCAACATTTATATCATTCAATAATTTAACTAAAAAATTGACTAATATTAGACATTCGAATATATATTATAATTTAATAACCAGAATTGTGGAATATTTTTTTTTATTGAGTTAGTATAAAAAATTACTTGGTCTCGATTGTAGGAACAGAAATAAAATTGCCAGACGCTAATTTTGCTATAATAATGTTTAGATTACTTTGTATAAATTATAAAATAGTAAGCATTTTAAAATATACTGTTGCAACATCTTCATTTGCATTTAATTGTCAAATAAAAGTTTAAGGATAAATGACTTTTTTTTTATTGTTTAGCTTCCCACTCATCTTAAACCCATGACAAAATATATACCAAATTATATAAAAAAAAAAATCAGGCCAATAATCGCCTTAGATAAATGATAGAAATCAAATTTAAACAACTTAAAGAAATAAAAATAAAAAAACTTTAGGATTTCAATCATTGTTCTCTCTTTTTGCCCAAGTAGTCACCCGAATGAATACAATAATCACCACTCATACATTTTGCACATAAGTGCCTCTTATGTACGTTGCCTTCTCCCTTATCTAAAGGTTTGTATAATAAGATGATACTCTTATTACCAAGATTTTTTCCTTTGCACTTTTTACATTCTTGCATACAATAATCATCAAAACCCAGCTTTTGATTTAATTCAATAAACTTCTGTAATGATATCCAAACATAAGCACTTTCCCAACGCTTTCCACAATTAGAGCATTTCCATTCACCAAAGACTCGATAATATTTATTCCATTGTAGATGGACAATAACTTCATTAATAGGTACTTCATTAATAAGTACTTCTTTTAAGTTCATTAATTGCGATACAGAGAACATGCGAAAACTCGTGATAAAAAGAGGTTTAGAGCAATTTTTGCAAGGTTTCTTAAAATAGTTATACAGTCCTTCTGGAGTTTTCTTTAAACATTCTTGAAGAACTTTTTGGTCATAACAGACTAGATGGTAAGGATCTAGATTGTTATATTTTATACCATAATTTCCTTGAGATTCATAAGAATCCTCTGCTTCTTTACATTCAGCACATTCCCAATAACCGAATACCTTGTCTTTATTGTAACGAATTAAGTTACTAATGATATAAGAAAGTTTTTGACTTTGTTTCTTATTGTGGTCTCGAAAGGAATAGTTTTCTCTAACCGTTACTTTTTTGGATTCCAACAGAGACACATTTTTTGAATTCAAGGAAGTGGCCTTTCCGGATTGAGCAATAGTAGTGAACGGTTGAGTAAAAGAGGTAGTAATTTCCTTTTTTCCAAAAGTTATGTTTTTTTGAGTTTGAGAAAGAGAAGGATAATCTTCAGGTGTTGTAAATGTTGATGCCTTTTTTTGTTTATGAGGAAGAGAAGAAAAATCTTTAAGTCCCGTTGAAGAGAATTGTAATTGGGAATTTTTTGATCCAGGAGTAATATTCTTTTTAGGTTTAGCATTTAAAATCGCATCCCCCAATGTATATTTGTGGCGAGGATAATAAATTTCATCATAATCTCCATATTCATCTTTGTCTTCACTCTCATCTTCATACTCATTTTCATACTCATTTTCATACTCATTTTCATACTCATTTTCATAATCATATTCACACTCATCTTTGTATCTGAGTGTTGTGGATTGAGCAATATATATATTTTGATTAATATTGCTTGAAAATTTAGGTAGAGCTGCAGCCATTTCTTTTTCCCATGAAGGTTTCACATATCGAGTGTTTTCTGTAGACCTATCTTTTTTCGTATCATCAAGTGTGGAATTCCTACATTTGTCAGGCTTAAATTGTTGGGCAGGAAAGGAAGAATTGATATTATGCTCTGAATCATCAATAGACGATTTTGTTTGTCCCATATTGACTGCAACTTATTCTCAAAAAAATGAAATGAGAAAAAACCAAGCAATATTGATCATATGGTCAAATAATTAAATATAACTCGTTTACAACGTAACTCAAAAGGCACCCTTAACTATATGCGGACACAATGACAACAAAAATCCGCTGTAATGCCAAGGTTTACTCCAGTTTATGTGGGAGTCACATCTTAATCATGATCGTTACACAGTGTCAGACCGGTTAATTGTTCCGCAGCAATCGGATAACCGACCGAAAAAATTCGGGACGAAATCTAAAGAGGTGTGTTAGATTTGGCTAAACGAAGTAGTTTATACAATATATTTATGTGACTTAGGTCCTCTATTATTTTGGTAAATTGGGAACTAGTTTTTCTCCAAGGACCAGAAGGCATTTATTTTATAATAATTATATTCTTTACAGGATATTGTCAGAATCCCCCATAATCCTAAAATCGCCGTTTCTGCTATTTTTCCCAGAAACGGCCTTTCTGGGTTTCTGGCCGGTAAGTCCGGATTTGGAAATAATCGAGGTCACGGGGCATGTGTCTGCTTCAGGTCACGTTTCCGGTCTCACAACAGAATTAATATTGCGTATACATGTACTGTTATATAAAGTCACGAATTTTAACAATGGATATTACGCTTGATTAATATTTTTTTTTAACTATTTTTAAGAGAAAGTGATAAGAGATAAATTTATGATGTGAAAATGAAGATAGAACGAGATTGGTAATATCGTCGATCAAAATTATGGTATAGCTCACCACTAGACAAATAATATAGACGCTTATTTACTGCTCATAGCACTAAATTATGCATTACAGCATTACGACATGATTAATAATTAACTATGGGTAAAAATTTTGAATGCCATAAAATGTAATGCACAAATATTCTATAATGTCTATTATGGTGTAGTTACAGTATCCATAAAATGTGTACCAAAATTGATTACTTTACAATGGCTAAATCATATTGGTGCAGTTTATAAAACGTGCCAAAATTGATTAATTTGATTGTTAGGTCAAATTTTGGAAACTTTTTAAAAAAATTTTTTATATGTTTTACAGCTGTTCTCATAAATTCTGGGATATCTGAAAAATTTTCTGATGGCCGAATTGAATAAGTAACCGACTTCGGCCGAATTCAAAGACTTATCGATTACCGAGTGAGTTTTGAAAATTTTTTTTATATAAATTTTATAAAATATTATATATTGAAATTTTTTTTAAAAAAAAGTAGACTGACCAGGCCTATTTAAAAGGTTCATGTTATGTTATGAAAACCAAGTAATTAAATTTAAATAGCTTCAGGTAAAAATATTTATAATGAGTAAATTTTGATTAACAGCTTTACTGCTGAGCATATTTTCTTGATTCTGATGGTCAAGCTTGTTTGATAAAACTTATAATAAAGTTTACTTAATTGAATTTTTTTATATCAAATGCCAATATACAATATTTTAAATTAAATCCTTTTATTCAAAAATCTGCTATTATACGTATTTTATTTAATATTTTCTAAAAATTGAACCTAATTTAAGTTTAACTTTTACTGTAAATCATGATCAATTTAACTGTAGACTGTAACCGACCATTTTTTCAAAATTTCGTAAGGGCTTAAAGCCTTTCATTTCGTACTATCGGTATAAGTAAAATGGAATCAACAACTTTTATGTTATAACGATAAATGGTGTCTTCACCGTATTTAAAATTCGAAATCAGGTAATTTGATTAGATCTGCACATTTGACGTTTGGCATTTATTTAATAAATTTACATACCGTATTTTCGCGTAATAACGCTCATGAGCGTTATTTCGAATAATGGTCCGAATTAAGCTTAATTTAGGCCAAATTTTGAAATTACACCCTGTGCGTTATTACGCGAAAATACGGTAAATTGCTTTAACATTAATGAAAAAATAATTTTCTGAGTAGAACAACTTCAGAAGATAGATATTATGATATTTTAAGTGCTCCGAAAGAGTCATTAGGGGTCGGATTTGGGTTGAGCTCGGACCCAACCCGCGTAGATCAAGTCATAATTTATCATCGTAACACTGCAAGAATTTTATAATTTTAGGTAAAATGCGCATTAATTATTACAAAAATTCTTTATGAAGCTAAGCAATATTATAATTTTATAATTTAATCTAAGATGCTCCTTATAATTTCTGCAAATTAAGCAAAGATGCAATCTTTTATTCAACGCGTGCTATTTTTTATACTGAATTCTTATTGCCAACTAGGATCTCAAACACATGCATGCATAGATATTATTTGGTTCAAGACTACGCCTTTTTGAAACAACTAGATCGATTCCTTTGGAAAAATTCTCTCTACTGGCTAAATGTGGATATTCGTTTTCATACATTTTCGACTACTGAAAAAATATTGCTTAGTGTTCAGCCATAGTATCAGAAGTATATAAGTGACAGAATCAAGCTCAAATTGAGTGGATTCAATTGATGTCATTATTAACGAAAAAAAAAATCGGTAAAAATATTTTCGATTCAAGTTGACGTCATTTGGTTTGAATCAAAAAAAAAAAATCCTTTAAATATTTTTGATTCAAGTTTATGTGGGTTGATATGGATAACCTCGGGTTCATGTTTTTAGTTCAGGTCTCAAACTAAATTAACCCTTAAGGCGCACTAGCTATACTAATTATTAGGAGAAATTTATGAACTTCCGTGATTAAACCTGTAGCGAATTAAATTAACCTATACCCACTGCAACAAGTTTGTATTTTTATTTAAATATTTTTATTTGTTTTACTCATGTATAGCAAAAATGGCAGGAAAAAAAATTATTATTATTAACAACATACTGTACATAATCACATTTTCCGAATGCCTAACGGTGTGCACCTTCTTAAACGTCACCTCTTAATTCTTTATTATTACAACCGGAGATATCTTAGCGATATAATTACGGTGATACGGTAATATGGCATTATACCAATATGATTTATGATTTTTACGGCAAAATAATACAGCGAGTATTATAAACGTATTAATCATATAAATGAATGAATTCCAACGTCAACTATACATGGGTTAGATATTATGATATGTTAATATTGTAAGTTTGCAGTTAATGCTAAAAATTTTAGGATCTCAATTTGAAAATATCCTTATTAAAGTTTACATTTTCAAGTTCAACTGTAACAATAAGCAATACTTTATAGATCGCAGTTTTAATTAAATTTATTTATCACGTATACATTAACGACACATTTATCAATTTCATTTTTTGAAGAGGTATCAGATTAAGTTGATTTCAAAAAGTTAATATGGATAAAATTGTTCTTCCAGCATTTTATATTAGTGTATCGGTGCACAAAAAATAATTAGACACAGTTCCTCAGATTTTTTAAAATTTTGTAGATAATCCAAAAAATGTAAGTGAAACAATCAAACTAACAAAATTTTGTGAGTAATATACAAAATATAATTATTAAAAAGTTTAATAAGTATAATTTTTTCTTTATTTAATAATCATGATAAATCTCTTGAATAAAATTCCAGAAACATGAAAAAAAAGTGAAAAAATTCGATAAATCTATCCTAAAAATAAAAGATTAGTAATCTATCCGAAGGATTATAGAGATATCAAAACTCGAGCCAAGTAGTGATAAATGAGCCTTTTATTAAATAAAGTTCTATAATTACACTAGCAACAAATGAAATTATTCAGCACCGAAGAACTCGTACTGTTTCACTGCAAAAAGTCCTGTTATAGCATTAAATCGTGCTAATTTAGAAAAAACAATTCGTTATTTTCAAGGCGAGCAATTACATTTGCTAATTATATTTAAAAAAGACGAGTTTTTCAAAAAAGCACATTTAGCTTTCTCTTTTTTAGCATCTAATTTTTGTTCTTATTGTTAGATATTACATGTCATTTTTTTAACATAAAATGAGTATTTTTAATTATCCTACAGATTCTAAAATGCATAGCAGATAGGGGATGGTCGGGTATTATGGCGCGGGTGGGTAATATGACGCACTTGTGTTTTTTTATGATATACTGATCAGAATCGAAAAATTTTAGTATCATTCATTTAATTCGTCTTAATGAGACGAATCAAATAATATAAAATTTTTTTTTGATTCTAGTTGCTAAACCACAAGAAATAAATAAAAGTAGATATTACTTATGAATATTAAGTTTCTTTTGATTTTTAATATATATTTCCTTATTTGTGTAATGTCTGGGGAAAGAATGCAACAATACAATACGAAGCACATAGTAAACATAGTGCGCCATAATACCTCCCAAATGTAAAAAACAGCATTTTTAGAGTAAATTTTGAAAGTTCGTATTTCAATCTTTTTTTTTTTAAAAAAAGTCTTTTTTTTTTATTGGCAGATGATTAATTCGATGAGTAATCTATTTCAATAGATTTCAAGAATAAATATGGAGATTTTCATATGAGCAACTCTAAATGCGCCATAATACCCGACTCTCACTTACGCTATTCGTTCGTTATAAATTGACAGGAATCATAAACAACATACGACATTGAAATCCATATTTAAAAAGGTGATTAAAAAGAGCAACATTTCGATGGTAAACTTTTTAAGAAATTTAATAATAAGAATAATGATCCAATTAGAAAGAAAAAAAAATTAAAAGATATAAGTTATAGTGTAATAGATTTATCTACAATTATAGGATTCGATAAATATTAACGCAGTAATCTTGGCAATTCTTGGCAATTTTACTAATGTTACTGTGTTGAAAATATTTTCATTTAAGCCAGGTAATATTCAATCGATATATTCATAATAACATATCAAATCTTGGCATTTATTTAACCGAGTTTCCAAATTGTTAACATTAGGGGGATTTTATAATTTTAAAATTACCGGATCAGGAAAACAATTGCAGATTTATATCGATTAACGATCAGATATTAATTTATAGAGTCAAGATACATACGCGTTTTAAGGAACGCTATGTTATTGAATTTAAAGAAACTTGTATAGGGTATGGTTCAGAAATTTAATAAACAGGAGGGCTAATCCGTATAATGAATTTAAAATTTTAGTGAGATTCGCCATTCAAATTACGTACTTACTGGTAAGTGCAATTGTCAATGCTGTTTGAAATTGTAATAGTTTTACAATTACGCAAATAACGATAATAATAATGATTGATATCAACAAACTTTCAAATGGCACCATAATGTATTATAACCTTTACATAGCCCTCATATAAATTAAACGATTACAACCGCAACATCAAGAAATTATATAGGTTTAAATCCAGATTGGATGGTTCAATTAGAGCGTCTAGACTTATGTAATTTCAGGGATTTTTCATTGTTTGAACAATGAAAATTCCAAAATCGCATAAGTCCGGTTTCTGTATAGAATCTAATCCCCTGATTAAATTATTACATAGCTTTTCTGTATTATGTAAAAAGATTCGATTTTAATTTTCTCAAATAGTGATGTCTTTTCGTTGATAAATGATAATGTTAGTTCGAACAAAGAATTCTTTTTCGAATAAATAATGAAATTAAAACAAATTAATTCTCCTTGCCTTATCCCTTCTAAACTATTAATAGATCTATATTACAAGTATTCACGTAAAAAGAAATAAAAAAACCTATAAATTACCATTCCCCCATCTCCAAGATTACCTCAGATTTCTCAACGATCATATATATTACAACAACAAGTATTCATTTAAAAGAAATAATAACTTTATAAATTACTGTCTCCCATCTCCAAGATTATTTTGAAATAATATCCATTTAATATTATACTTATCCTCTCTCTTAGTTGTCAAAATAACCACTATGAAGAGTTTTCAATTATTTGTTGCGTTATTTTTTATCCTTGGATTGCTTAACACCAGTATGGTATTGAGCAAACCAATCCCTAAAGCCTATCCTAAGTAAGTAACCTCTAAACATTTAAATTATATTAGATTATTAAATTAGCATATACTTACAATTTGTTTTTATTATATTTATCCAGTCGTTATGGACATCATCATCACCATCATCACTACCCTAACTATGATTGTGATCTTTATGACGATTGCCTTCCACCATTCTAAAAAATATAGATGAATATAAGTTCTTATATTTTTTCATAAGGATTTACTTAGTGAACTTGCATTTTAGTTTAAAATTGATTGAATTTATATAGTTTATTGAAGTAATCTATAGTTCTCTTTATTCTGCAATGTAAATATATATATACGCATATATATATATATATCAAATTATTAATAGTCCCAAGTTTAATTTTATGATATCAGATATTTGTATTGCTGAAAGTCTTAATAAAATTTAAAATCAATTTTGTTAGTTACTAATTATATTTTAATTATAGTATAATATAAAAATTTATAGCCATAATTTCGGATTCACTACGATCATTATTTTGAAACCAGCTTACTACCTTTTTATCTCCTATACATAAATGCAGTTACATCAAATTTTGGAACGAAAAAATAGTTATATAGCTTTTGTTAAATCACCTGGTTGTAACGTTCATCAATTTTGATTGGGTCATAAATATCCGCGTAAAATAAATGTGTGAGATGAAGCTGAAATTTTGGGATCTCTATTAAGATCTATAGAATCTACTTAAAACCCACATATGCTTTTTTATTAATAACTCTAACCTGAATTCCAATAATAAGGTCAAAAACTACACCCCAAAAAGTTTCAAAATTTCAGCTTCTTTCAGCTTCGCATTCAACCCCATAATAAAATAAACCCAATTTAAACCATTGGTAATTTATGTATTGATGAAAAATGCATATTTTTTTTCAAATGTTTTAAATATTTATAAATAAATCTCTTTAATAAATCACAAGCAGATACGAAGAAAAATACCAAGCCTTAATTGGTTATAAATACAACCCATGCTTGATAAAAATATTTTGGGATCTGTACCAGATCTAAAACGTAACTTAATGTACTGTACATAACATTATAACGTTACATGCGTAACGTTCATTTAATTCAAGATAATATACCATAAAACTTGGAAAACCAGCATTATACTCTCTACTAGAGATGGGCACGCGCGTGATGCACGGAACTTTTTTAGAGCCTGCGCGGGATTTTTAATATGATCACATATAAAAATTATTTGGCCGGCATTACCATATCATCTGACTGGCATTAATATAATATCTGGCCTGCTTTAACAAATTCTCGAAATTCTAATTTTGACCCGAATTAAGCTTAATTTGGGCCGAAATTCGAAACAATGCCCACGCCTCTATTTCAAATTTACACGGTAGAACAATAAATTTTGATTTTCAATAATAATTTTTGCATGGTTTTTTATTAGACGCAAAAAAATTATTAAACCCGCAAATTTGTGATCCTATCCCGCGCGTGACGCGTGGGATTTTTGAAAAAACTGCGATTTGCTCATCTCTACCCTCTACCCAACTTTTCTATCTCGGCGAATCAATGAGTGTTGAAGAATATATGTAATACACGACGTAAAGATATAATAAATAAATAAATAATGAATCATACGAAAATAAAGACTATCTTTATAAACATTAATGAAAATATCAATGCAAATTAGGCTTGTTCTGGCTTGTATATTTAACTATTATAAAAACCGATTAATGGATAGAGCTGAACGAGCTGGTACCATCTCTAAATGTAAATATCAATCAATGTAATTATTAATAAGCATCATGTATTATCTTCATTGACAAAATACCGCATAATGATCAGAATCAGAATGACGCGTAATATATACAATTGATTAATTAAAATATTTTCTTGTGTGATGTCGTACAAAAAGAAAAATAAATATCAACATGATATTTGTGTGATTTGTGAGTTTAAGCTTACGATGGAACCCTCTCTAAGAAATATACCATTATTAAAAACGTATACATGCAAAAATACTGCCGTAGGAATTGACAGACTTTTTATCGATATATACGCACCTGAGTGGAGCTTAGAAAACTACGTATATCAAATTCAAAACTATTCTAAGTCAAAGCGATAATTTCGAATATTGACTGGTTAATGTAAGTTTTAATCAAAGCGTGAGACTCATTTACTAATCCTAAATTTTAAAGTTATGAAAACTTTATTTACTTTTCTTATTTACTTTTTTTTTTTTTTTGCTTTATTTTTTTCAGCTTTATTTTCTTGTTTCTTTTTTGTTTTTTGTATTTTTTAAAATTTTTTTAATTTATTTATGCAGACGCCCGAAGAGTCAAGCAATTCTTCAAGATCGTCAACAACAGACAAAGATCTTATGCCACTAGCAAGAATGTCTACAGTAGATGTATCAACCAAAAGTTTCATAAATAAAGATGTAATAATGTAAGTTTTATATTTGCTACAAATATTAATAATTAATTTTTGTTTCTAACTAACTAACTTTTATCAGGTATATCAATGTCCAATACTCTATCGAAATCCTTCTTTAATATCAGAAGGTGAAACTATAATCAGTCGACAAGAATCTAACTTATCATTAGGTAATTAGGTAAAATGCATTAATTAATACAATATTTGAATCATTAATTTTGTTTTCCATATAGGTGGATCCGATAGTGTTAATTATCAGGTTTCTGATGATTATTATGGACATAATCTTCTTGAAAATTTTGAGGGTGTCTACATGGGAGAGAATGTATTTAAAGATTATTTCTTTGTCCTGTTTGTATTAAAATTTATATATTAATTTATAAATATATTAAATTGATTATGTTTTAGTCTGAAACGAGGCATGAATTTAAACAAGCAATAATGAATCCAATATGATCCGAATAAAAATGCCGTTTATATTTTGAAAAGTCCTACTTTACCTGGTGCATCTTTTTCACCTGTCGCAACTGTACCACCTGGGTGCATCTTTTTTGCCCGTCCAACTTATGGTTTCTTCACGTGCCAGAGTCGTTGACATGTTCTGATTTGCTATTCTTAATCAGAATTTTTTGGAATTTCCAGTACAAGTTGTTCCCAGACTGATGGTCTTATATTTGAAAATTTCAGGTAAATATTGGTATATTTTATAAAGGAATATTATTTTACGTACTAATTATATTAATATGTTGTTTATTGAATCGGAATTACCATCAGCAATTATTCCGTCCACGTACTAAATTTAAAGGTGTCTTAAAACTTCTGCCAATTTTTCACGTACATATATTAAAAGACATAAATATAAATTATCATACTAATTTGGGTTTTTATTTTTATTTTTTTCAGAAAATAACCCCCAAGCAAATGGGCTGCCGTCAATAGAAATCAAGCAGATCTACATTTGAAAAAAAATCAATGCCTTAAGTTTCACGGCTCATATCTCGATGAATTTTAAAGCTATGTTGATGCTTTAATATTCAAAAGAAATATTACAATCTAAGCTTTCTTTTGAATATTAAATCATCAAGATAGCTTCAAAATTCATCGAAATATGAGCTATGAAACTTAAGGCATTGATTTTTTTTCAAATGTAGATCTGCTTGATTTCTATTGACGGCAGCCCAAATAATGATGATGCACGATCCCAAGTGCAATCTAGATCAAGATCCCGAGCACAATCAAGGTCAGGATCCCGAGCACATAGGTCTCGATCCTGAGATCAACGATCACCAAAAATTGGATCTAAATCCTATTCAAGATCGATTAATCAAAGATGGTTTGAAAATTCCCGATGGCTTATTAAAATGTGAAAAATTTTATTTCGATGATGCTTACTTTGTATTGCTTAAATTTATAATCTATAATAAAATGTGTATTTTATTTAAACTATTACTGTATATATAATTTGAATCTTTAAAGTGTATCTTGGCAAAATGAGGAAAATTAAAGAAACAAACCAATTTAATTTTTTTTTTCTTTAAATTATTTAATGGTTTTATATTTAATATTTAATGCGTTATATAGCTTGTTTTTATTAACAAGCTTTGAAGTTTCAAGGCGAGAAAATTAATTTTAAGATTTTGTAAACTTGTGATAAATCAAAGACTGCACTTAAAGAAAACTGGTGTTTAAAAAATGTTCTTTGAGAATTTGTTGTCTAGAAGACATTAATAGAATTAAAGTTTCCATATGTTACAAAAAAATTTTGGTCGGAAAATGAAATGAAAGAAATATATAATTGCTGGTGAACAGGAAAATGATCATAATTTTCTTTATAGATGATAAAAGATGACGAAGGATTAACTGGAACTAATTAAATTCTCAAACAAATAAAAAAATTTTAATTAATCATAAAGCATTTCAGCTCTATAAAGAATGAACAACTTTACTTCTTTTTGTTAGCAACGTAGATGGAATAAAAAAAGGCTAAGATTGAATGGAAAAAGTCATTTGATAGAAAAACTAAAACTCCTAAATCGTTTCAAGGTTTATTTCCGGAAAATTGGAAATGATGTATGTTTTATTAAAGATCAAATTTACCTATACAGGCACGAACAATGGCGGTCAGATGTTTTCATCACATAAATAAAACTTAAATTCATCTTTTTGAAAGTGGGCCATTTTAAAATTTATAAATTTAGTTTACCTAAATCAATGACGATTAATACAACCTAATTAATCTTTTTTATTCTAACAGAATTATTGGATGGTAAAAATTTAAATTTATTTATAAATTCTAATAGTTCAAGAGTTATTGTCTTAAGTTCTTGTCGAATTTAACTAGGATGACAATTTTAAATTTCTAGGAGTTCGAATTTCGGTTTAGAGATCAAGAAACGGGCTTTTCTCTTTGAAAAAAAAAAAATGCTTTATGAAAGATTTTAGTCTAAACTCCTGTTGATTTAAATGATGCTTTAAAAAAACTATACATTTCGAGTTCATTTACGCTCATACATTTTTCTTTATTCATTCTATTTTATTTTTTTTTATTTCTAATTAACTATCTTTCTACTATGCACATTACATATTATATCGTTCATTCACTAGTTTATCTATCTTATCTATCAACACCTCGGGACCCTTCGGCAAAAATTGGGTACAGTAACAAAGTTGTGAATAAAAATTAGCTACATCCGACAATTGAATGGTTATTAAAAATGGTCGTTTTCGGAGAAAGTCTCGAAAAAGCTTGCGAAACCTAGATTAAAAAGGTTGACACATTTCGGAAAATAATCAAAGAGAATAAAGGCGAAAAACAAAAAGGTTATAATGAATAATTTGTTTAAACACGTATTTTCGAGAATATTTAGTCCCCAGGAACCTATATATATTATCTTCTAGTAATTAAGTTTTATACATGGTACGCGTCGGGAAATATTACAGTATAATAAAACGTGACCCAAGAACTGTAGCCAAAAAGCATGTGACCCCACAAAGATGATCAACGGTCATGCCCGTACCACGATAGGTCGAATAAAAACAAAATTCTGAATTTTCTGATTCCATATTATGTAAAACGTTGCGTGGCCTTTGAATGTAAACATGAATCTATTAAATTACAGTAAATTATATATATATAAGTGAGTTTACCATTTCAATCATAAACCTTTCACCAAGTCATCTTTTTTTGTTACCTTATCAAAAATTTCAGATATAAGTAAATAAAGTATTGTTCAAGCATTTCATACTTTTTATTATGGATTTTTATTTTTTTGTAAATTTTGGTAAATTATTTCTTATCTCAAATGTTTGTGACTTTTATTTGATTTATTTTGTATTTTACAGTTAGATAGAATATCAATTTATATCTTAAGCTAAGCAACTAGTCTCTAACCCGGTGCGTAGCACCGGGCTTTAACATTCTTAATTTTTTTTATATTCTTTTAATTATTTTTTTA